AAAACCTCTTCTACGTCCTCACCACAAAAAATCATCGTTTGAACTTTGCAAATGAACATATAGACAAGCCTGATGCATTTTTGAAACAAGTTCTGTGGACCGATGAGGTTAAAATTGAACTTTTTGGCCGGAATGAGCAAAGGTATGTTTGGAGAAGAAGGGGCACAGAATTTAATGAAAAGAACCTCTGTCCAACTGTTAAGCATGGGGTTGGATCAATCATGCTTTGGGGTTGTGTTGCAGCCAGTGGCACAGGGAACATCTCACGAGTAGAAGGAAAAATGGATTGAATAAAATTTCAGCACATTTTGGATGGTAACTTGATGCCATCTGTGAAAAAGCTGAAGTTAAAGAGAGGATGGCTTCTACAAATGGATAATGATCCTAAACACACCTCGAAATCCACGGGGGATTACATCAAGAGGCGTAAACTGAAGGTTTTGCCATGGCCTTCACAATCTTCTGACCTCAACATAATTGAAAATCTATGGATAGACCTTAAAAGAGCAGTGCGTGACAGACAGCCCAGAAATCTCAAAGAACTGGAAGACTTTTGTAAGGAAGAATGGGCAAAGATACCTCAAACAAGAATTGAAAGACTCTTGGCTGGCTACAAAAAGCGTTTACAAGCTGTGATACTTGCCAAAGGGGGCAGTACAAGATATTAACTCTGCAGGGTGCCCAAACTTTTGCAGACGCCATTTTTTTGTTTTCTGTTATTTTGAAAGTGTAAATGATGGAAATAAAATCCAACTTTTGTTGACATGTTATAAGAATGTCTAATCTGTAATTTGATGCCTTTTGGAGATTTTTCCATCTTTCCTTGGCTTCTTTATGCACATTAATACAAATGTTTAGCTGGGGTGCCCAAACTTTCGATCCCCACTGTATATATATATATTTATATATACACACATACTCACCGGCCACTTTATTAGGTACACAAGTTGCTAATCAGCCGATCACATGGCAGCAACTCAGTGAATCTAGGCATCTAGACGTGGTGAAGACGACTTGCTGAAGTTCAAACCAAGCATCACAATTGGGGAAAAAGGGGATTTAAGTGACTTTGAACGTGGCATGGTTGTTGGTGCCAGACAGGCTGGTCTGAGCATTTCAAAAACTGCTGATCTACTGGGATTTTCCCACACAGAGACTGGTCCGAAAAAGAGAAAATATCCAGTAAGCAGCAGTTGTTTGGATGCCTCGTTGATGTCAGAGGTCAGAGGAGAATAGGCAGACTGGTTTGAGATGATAGAAAGGCAACATTAACTCAAATAACTACTCCTTACACCTAAGGTATGCAGAATACCATCTCTGAGCACACAACACAACCTTGAAGCAGATGGGCTACAGCAGCAGAAGACCGCACTGGGTGCCACTCCTGTCATCTAAGAACAGGAAACGGAGGTTACAATTCACACAGGCTCACCAAAACTGGACAATAAAAGACTGGAAAAATGTTGCCAGTGTGATGAGTCTCGATTTCCCTAGAAATGGTTGTGCGTAAAAATCCCAGTAGATCAGCAGTTTTGTGGGGTTTTTTAAATACTCAGATGAGCCCGTTTGGCACCAGCAACCATGCCACGTTCAAAGTCACCTAAATCCCCTTTCTTCCCCATTCTGATGCTCGGTTTGAACTTCAGCAAGTCATCTTCACCACATCTAGATGCCTAAATGCATCGAGTTACTGCCATGTGATTGGCTGATTAGCAATTTGTGTTACCAAGCAATTGAACAGGAATACCTAATAAAGTGGTCTGTTAGTGTATATATATATATACAGTCAGGTCCATAAATATTGGGACATCAACACAATTCTAACATTTTTGGCTCTATACACCACCACAATGGATTTGAAGTGAAATGAACAAGAGATGTGCTTTAACTGCAGACTGTCAGCTTTAATTTGAGGGTATTTACATCCAAATCAGGTGAACGGTGTAGGAATTACAACAGTTTGCATATGTGCCTCCCACTTCTTAAGGGACCAAAAGTAATGGGACAGAATATTAACCATAAATCAAACTTTCACTTTTTAATACTTGGTTGCAAATCCTTGGCAGTCAATTACAGCCTGAAGTCTGGAACGCATAGACATCACCAGACGCTGGGTTTCATCCCTGGTGATGCTCTGCCAGGCCTCTACTGCAACTGTCTTTTGTTCCTGCTTGTTCTTGGGGCATTTTCCCTTCAGTTTTGTCTTCAGCAAGTGAAATGCATGCTCAATCCGATTCAGGTCAGGTGATTGACTTGGCCATTGCAGAACATTCCACTTCTTTCCCTTAAAAAACTCTTTGGTTGCTTTTGCAGTATGCTTTGGGTCATTGTCCATCTGCACTGTGAAGCGGCATCCAATGAGTTGTGAAGCATTTGGCTGAATATGAGCAGATAATATTCCCGAAACACTTCAGAATTCATCCTGCTGCTTTTGTCATCAGTCACATCATCAATATATACAAGAGAACCAGTTCCATTGGCAGCCATACATGCCCACGCCATGACACTACCACCACCATGCTTCACTGATGAGATGGTATGCTTAGGATCATGAGCAGTTCCTTTCCTTCTCCATACTCTTCTCTTCCCATCACTCTCGCACAAGTTGATCTCGGTCTCATCTGTCCGTAGGATGTTGTTCTAGAACTGTGAAGGCTTTTTTAGATGTCGTTTGGCAAACTCTAATCTGGCCTTCCTGTTTTTGAGGCTCACCAATGGTTTCCATCTTGTGGTGAACCCTCTGTATTCACTCTGGTGAAGTCTTCTCTTGATTGTTGACTTTGACACACGTACACCTACCTCCTGGAGAGCGTTCTTGATCTGGCCAACTGTTGTGAAGGGTGTTTTCTTCATCAGGGAAAGAATTCTTCGCTCGCTCATCCACCACAGTTGTTTTCTGTGGTCTTCCGGGTCTTTTGGTGTTGCTGAGCTCACCGGTGCGTTCCTTCTTTTTAAGAATGTTCCAAACAGTGGTTTTGGCCACGCCTAATGTTTTTGCTATCTCTCTGATGGGTTTGTTTTGTTTTTTTCAGCCTAATGATGGCTTGCTTCACTGATAGTGACAGCTCTTTGGATCTCATCTTGAGAGTTGACATCAACAGATTCCAAATGCAAATAGCACACTTGAAATGAACTCTGGACCTTTTATCTGCTCATTGTAATTGGGATAATGAGGGACTAACACACACCTGGCCATGGAACAGCTGAGAAGCCAATTGTCCCATTACTTTTGGTCCCTTAACAAGTGGGAGGCACATATGCAAACTGTTGTAATTCCTACACCGTTCACCTGATTTGGATGTAAATACCCTCAAATTAAAGATGACAGTCTGCAGTTAAAGCACATCTTGTTCGTTTCATTTCAAATCCATTGTGGAGGTATAGAGCCAAAAATCTTAGAATTGTGTCAATGTCCCAATATTTATGGACCTGACTGTATATGCTTCAGCTACATTGTATCTTCATAATCGCATTAATAGTGATTCTAAAGGCTCAATTATTATTTTTTACAAACATGTTATTCTTACTTGCTCTGTGCAATGGTTTTGCACAGAGCAGTCCCTGTCCTCCTCCTCTCAGGTCCCCCGCCGTTGCTTCTGGCTCCTCCCTACCCCCATAGAAAGCCGCCTGCTCTGGGGGCATTCGTGCATGCTTGCTTCCGAGCCCTGCTTTTTGTGTCCATGAGACAAACAGCATGGCTTGGCTCCATCCCCCACTGGCTGTAATTGACAGCAGCAGGAGCCAATGGCTCCGACTGGCGTGTTTGAGCCAATGAGAAAAGAGAGAGCCTCTGCTGTCATAAACAGTACTGGATTCAGATCAGGCTCAGGTATGTATATAAGGGGGGGGGGGGGGGGGGGGGGGCTGCAGAGGGGGGGGTAGCTGCTTGCAGAAGTGTTTAAACATGGCACCAACTGTTTAGCCCTTTGTTAAATAACTGCACACGCTAATTTGAAACTTTAGTAGTGCAGCAAAGTTTTTGTGACCCAAACGTTTAGCAGAGCTGTGGTTGATGTTCCTCAAGTGGACAGTCTAAGGCTATCTTTTCTATGCTGGCAAGGTGGCACACCCTGAGATGCACTTTTAAATGTGAGAATTTTTTTTACAAACTTTTAAATATTAACATGCATATGGGGAACACTATGGTTGTATGTGTCACTGAAGGGATTGGAGGAGTGCATCAAGCAGGATTGCTTTCATGACATTGTGAGGATTTGATGGAGATTGGACTTTTGGAGTGCTTTTTTTTTTTATTTTCTTATTTTCATTGTTTTTTTTTTATTTTCATTTTTATTTTTTTATTTTATGGCGGTATAGGATTCAGATATTAAATTCATACGTGTACCGATGTATAGCCATATTAATGGTTTGTTTGTGTATTGAGTTTTTATACATATACAGTATTTCTACATTTACATATACAATTATTTCCTGTTCACATATATGCGGATTGGATGTGGTTTAAACTGCATCCAATCTGTATGACGTAAAAAAACCTTGCTTCCTATGGTGCCTGTTCACATATGTCCAGTGCACGGCCTGTGCAGATTCAGTGAGGATTCAGTGCAGTTTTAACCACTAGCCTACAGGGCACTTATACCCCCTTCCTGTCCAGGCCAATTTCCAGCTTTCAGTGCTGTCACACTTTGAATGACAATTGCGCGATTATGCAACACTGTACCCATATGAAATTTTTATCATTTTTTTGAGACAGATAGAGCTTTCTTTTGGTGGTATTTAATCACCTCTGGGATTTTTATTTTTTCTTAAACAAACCAAAAACCACTGAAAATGTTGAAAAAAAAAGTTTTTTTCTTAGTTTTTGTTATACAATTTTGTAAATAAGTGATTTTTCTCCTTCACTGATGTGTGCTAATGAGGCTGCAGTGATGGGCACTGATAGGCTGCACTGATGGACACTGATAGGTGGCACTGATGGGCACTGATGAGGAGGCACTGGTAGGTTGCACTGATTGGCATTGACAGGCATCACTTATAGGCACTGAAAGGCAGCACTGATACATGACACTGATATATGGCACTGATAGGCGGCACTGACTGGCACTGATAGGCGGCACTGATGCAAACTGATAGGCGACACTGACTGGCACTGATAGGTGGCACTGATTGCCAGCGATAGGTGGCACTGACTGGCACTGATGGGTGACATTGAAAGGCAGCTCAGATGGGCACTGATATGTGGCATTGATGTGCACTGGTATGCACTGATATGTGGCATTGATGTGGCACTGATGGGCACTGGCACATGGCACTGATGAGCACTGACAGATGATCACACTGATCATCAGGGCACACTGATCATCAGTGCCCTGATGATCAGTGTACATGTCCCCTCCGCGGAAAGTCGATTACTGGCTCTCCTATCCTCTTGAGCTGTCAGCGTGACAGCTCGAGAGGAGAGAAATGCCGATAACCGGCATTTCCATGTTTACATGTGATCAGCTGTGATTGGACACAGCTGATCACATGACCGAGCCGACATCTTCGGCTCTTTCCGTGATCCGCTGTGTCCGAGGGTCACAGCGCACCGCGCGCTCCCTGAGCCGCATGCGCAGTGAGAATGGTATATGACGTCCTATCGGAACGAGAGAACCACCTTGCGCCCGTCATTGTAATACAGGGTGGGCGGAAGGTGGTTAAAAAGAATCAGGTGCGGATTACAGGCTATTGATTTCTATGGAAATCATTTCTAAACCGCATATGTGTGAACAAGATAAAATCCTGAGCTAATCCTGTCCTGAATCTGATGCAAACCTGACCTGAACCTGTGAACAGCTACTGTATGAATTAGCTGTGAAACCTGAGCTTCAATCTGTACCACACATGTGTGAATCAGTTCTTATACTGTACATATACAGTATTTAGCACTGGAAAACAACCTTATAACCTGTGCTTAGGTATAAATTATTACGTGACTGTGTGCACCAAAATGTATTAGTATACATCAATAAGTGACTCAAAAATAGACCAAGTGAATATCAAAAAAATCAATCAATCAATCAATCAAAAGAATAAAAGAATAAATAAATACATTTTAAAAAAGCTGCTGCTACTATATAGGGTGCTGACCCTCATAAAACTAAACAATGATAGTAGTTAAGCACTGCCTAGTCATAAATTCACTAACATATTATGCAATAACTCTTCTTAGAGTCCATAAACTGTGCATAATTGTGCAACCTTTTAAACCGTGTCTGTGCGGTATTCTTCTTAAAAGTGCTAAGAAACACACTGTGCTCCCCACCGGTGATCCCCCTCACTCGCCGACTTGAGTGGACTCTTGGGTTTAGATAAGAGTCTGATGCTCTTAGTGGGAAGGTCCCAGTATAGCTGGTACTTGTAGTCCTCCTCGATGTGGATATACTCCTTATTCGCGGAGATGATCGATTTCAGCGGTCATAAGATTTAGGCACTCATAGGGAATGAAGAAAGTGTCCAAATAGCGTAAGTCTGTTTATTTAAAATTACCAAATAAAATAAATGTATTGTACTCACATATTAAAAAGAAATACCAAGCATACAAACTGTCAAACCGGAAGCAGAGCAGCAGCGTGCGCTCCACCGACCGGAAACAATGTCACCACGGCTCCCATAAACTGACGCGTTTCACTCCTCCAATTGGGTGTCCTCAGAGGCTGTGGTCGGTTGAACGGATGCTGGTGGACTTTGTATATGTACTTTGTACTATATATATTTTTGTGAATTTATGATTAGACTTAACTACCATCATTGTTTAGTATTTAGCAATGCACTATTTTAGTTTTAAATTACATAGCATAATTTATTTAAAAATATACCAAATATATACATCTAAGATATGGAATATAAAATGGTATTGGTGAGCATATGTCCTGGAGTCTGATGCAACTTTCATCAACCCCTATAACACTGTTATATATCAGTACAAAACAACACACTGTACATAGCCACAATATTTAGTTATTTACATATTCCTTTGAGGATTTGTAGAAACAACATCAGACAATTCTGTCTGTACAGGATTTGTTGTTAAAGTGAAATGTGTACATATGAATATGAACACAGCTGGTCTCCCTCCCTTTCCACAGTTATTATGATCTGTTCCAGCGTATGAGAACATCATGTGCCTAAGCCTTGCTCTTCTGTTCCTGAGTACAGATAACAGTTTACTGCTACCTTCTGTACAATAATAGTAGCTGGCAATCCTCTAGTGTTGTAGGCAATGTCTTGTGCAACTACAGATGCCTACAACATGCATCCCTGATACTGCTCTAACATTGGTCACTCTTATTGTAAGACAGACAATGCAGCTTATTGCTGTGGCATGAAGTTATCAGATTTGAGTGCAAGCCAGTCAGTGCAATCATCTGCGTTCCAGTGCATTTTTATTCTGCATCCAAAAAGCACAGAAAGTAGGTTAGATGATTGTCAATGGCACGGATCACACCAGTGCTTGCAGTTCCAGTACATTCCAGGAAAAATGCTGCATTTTTCCTACACAGAACTGTACTGGAACGTGGTAAAAACACATCAAAAATGCGATAGAACGTATCAAAAACGCACCAGAATGCATCAAAAATGCAGCGGACCCCAAATGACTCAAAAAAGGAGGAATAAAAGGATCTGGAATGCATCAGAAACGCGCATGCAGAAATGCATCCGGACTGCGTTTTTTTTTTTTTTTACTGTCGCTATGCAGCCAATCATTATGTTTGTGTGTTCTTTGTTTGTATTAACTTTTTCCACATGCCTTCAGTAATCTCGCCATCTAGTTTCATTCTGTAATTCTCCTTAATAAGTGCACCCATATGACTGTTGTACAGTAGATTGATGTCAATTGTATATTTTTTACATAATACAAACATCATTTGTGACCAAGATGTCTTTCAATAGTAAAGGCATGTCTTTAACAGAGATTAGCTTTGAACCGATTACAACACTTCTTGTGAAATTAACCCAAAGGGACAAATATGAACATTTTTCTCATACGATACCAGAATGTATGATTTTAATTTAATCAATACGGTATTCGTCCGAAAAAAAATGTAAGACCAAGACCATGCATGCTCAGAAACAAAAGAATACATTACAATACAATACATCACTAGATTGCAAATCATTTCAAAAACAAGATTGATGCAATTCGTAGGGGCATCGCCATGGCACAGACATCCATCCTACTTAGCATACCTCATACTAAACCTCCCTCAACACTTCCCTCTTTTCACCTTGCTACTACTGAAGCGGTCACTAAGGATTTCACAGAAGCCCGTCTCACTATCTACCCCCTGGATCCTGTCCCCTCACAACTACTACAGTCACCCTCTTCTTCCATTCTATGCTCCATCACTCACATCTTCAATCTCTCCCTCTCTAACGGTGCCTTCCCCTCCCCTCTAAAGCATGCACACATCACTCCCATGATTAAAAAGCCCTCCCTGGACCCCACCAACCTGAACAACTTAAGACCCATCTCCCTGCTCCCGTTTACCTCCTGTTTACCTCTAAACTCTTAGAACGCTTAGTCTACAATCGCCTGAGCTCCGACCTCACTGACAACAACCTTCTTGACCCTTTACAGTCTGGCTTTTGCTCACTACACTCCACTGAAACTGCCCTACTAAAACTCACGAATGATCTACTAACTGCTAAAACCAATGGCCACTACTCCGTACTCTAACTACTTGACCTGTCTGCGGCTTTTGATACAGTTGACCATCCCCTCCTCCTCAAAAAACTCCACTCTCTTGGCCTCAGAGACTCTGCTCTTTCCTGGTTCTCCTCCTACCTATCGCAGCGCTCCTTCAGCGTTACCTATAACTCTGGCTCCTCCTCTTCACTCCTTCTTTCTGTAGGGGTCCCTTATTGTTCCGTCCTTGGACCCCTACTCTTCTCCATGTACACCTCCACCCTTGGTCAGTTGATAAACTCCCATGGCTTTAAGTACCATCTATATGCTGATGACACACAAATCTATCTTTCTACCCCTCACCTCACCCCTTCAGTCTCGTCTTGCATTACTAACCTACTAAGCGACATATCGGCATGGATGTCACTCCACTTCCTCATACTCAATCTTTCCAAAACTGAGCTCTTAGTATTCCCTCCAGCCTATGCCCCCTCCCCTGACTTCTGCATCAAGATCAATAACACTAGGTGTAATCCTAGACTTCCATCTGTCCTTTCAGCCCCAAATCCAATCGCTGTCCAAATCTTGTAGACTTCACCTCCGCAACATCTTCAAGATACACCCGTTCTTAACCTCAGAAACTACTAAGCAACTTATTCACTCCCTGGTTATCTCTTGCCTTGACTATTGTAACTCCCTCCTCATTGGCCTACATCATTGCAGGCTATCCCCTCTTCAGTCTATCATGAATGCTGCTGCCAGACTCATCCACCTTACTAACTGTTCCATATCTGCTATCCCTCTCTGCCAATCCCTCCACTGGCTTCCCATTGCCCAACGAATAAAATTCAAAACATTAACAATAACATATAATGCCATTTATAACTCTGTCCTAAATTACATCACCAATCTTGTCTCCAAATATCACCCAATCCGTACTCTCCGCTCCTCACACGACCTCCTGCTCTCTAGCTCCCTTGTCTCCTCCTCCTATGCTCGTCTTCAGGACTTCTCCAGAGCTTCCCCCATCATCTGGAACTCTCTACCCCAATGTATCAGACTATCGCCTACTCTGCTCACTTTTAGGCAATCTCTGAAAACCTATCTCTTCAGGGAAGCCTATCCTGCCTCAGCTAATAATGGAATCTTCTACTCTTCCTTCCAGTCCATCTCCCACAGTTACTACCTTTTGTTCCACTAGCCCCTCCCTCCTAGATTGTAAGCTCCAAGGAGCAGGGCCCTGCTATCAGTCTTGTATTGAACTATATTGTTGCTGTATTGTCTCCCTTTATATTGTAAAGCGCTGAGCAAACTGTTGGCTCTATATAAATCCTGTTTATTAATAATAATAATAATAATAATAATAATAATAATAACATTACATCGCATCACTTCTGAAATTTTATTCTTTCTTCCTATTTTTGTAGCTTTCGTAGCCTCTTCTTTTTTGATAAGAGACTAGCATGCAAAAAAACCCCAAGAAAAACAGATGATCATTCATCCGATATTCTCTTGTGCGTATGAGGCTTAAGACTGGCCAGTTTGACAGTGCAGACTCCTAAACAAACATTGTAATTTAGTGGTGGTAGCACTACCTCTGGTTAATGGCAGATTCCTAGCTGGATTTTGTTTGTACACAAAACCAGCCAGGGGTTGTGGATGATGTAATTGCCCAAAAAAAGTCATGACCCCATTTGGACAATGACATCATATAGCTTCCCTGGCCAGGAATGCTACCTGATTATCTTACCTCACCACACTATCGCTGCATAACAACAGCAACATTAAAAATACACATATCAAATAACATGCTTGGGGGTGACCTTAAAGCAGAGCTCCACCCAAAAGGGGAAGTTCCGCTTTAAGGACTGGTCCCCTGCTCCC